CTTGGTCATCCTCTCCTCCACTCCTGCTCGTCGTAGATTCCTACTCCAGCTTAAATGTCCCCTGCTTGGGGAAGCCTCTGATTTCTCCACCTTGACATATTCTCTTAGCCCCGTGTTGTCTTTCACCTTGTACTACATTTTTTTATCTTATGGAAAAATAAAACAAAATTTCATAACAAACTATAGGAAAACAACAATAGTGGATTGCATATGGTTACTTCAAAGTAGTTACTCAGAGTGCAAGATATGGGTATAAAAATTCTCCAAATGACATTAACGCAAACTTTTCAATAAACTAAGAGAAACTATTAGTATAACTTTTACTTTTTTCCCCTTTTCCTCTCCTTCCTTTTCCTTTTCCCTCACCTAGTTCCTATTTCTTTTTGAATAATTTCTTCACATTTCACAATATCTATTATACATTTTGGCTTTTATTTATTTTTTCAGCCTCTCATACCAGGGAGACAATACAATGTTTATACACATGTCTCAAGTTTTTCCTTCTTTAGAGCTGAATAGTATTCCATAGTATGAAAAGACCATATATTTTGTATCCATTCTTCAGCTGGTGGGCATTTAGGTTGTTTCCAAGATTTATCTATTACAAATTGTGCTACTGTAAACATGGGTGCACAAATATTGCTGTGGTATGATGCTTTTAATTCTTCAGGGAAGATGCACAGAAGAGAAATAGCTGGGTCTAATGGGAGCTCCAATCCAATTTTTTGTGGAATCTCCATACTGATTTCTACAGCAGTCGCATCAATCTATACTTCTACCAATAGTTGAGATGTGTTTATTTTTTCCTCATAGCCCCCCTAACATTTATTATTGGTTGATTTCTTGATCAAAATCATTATTTTTGGAGTGGGATGGAATATGAGTGTTGTCTTAATTTGCATCTCTTAAATGACAACGTTGAACATTTTTTCATATATTTATTTGCCATTTGTATTTCATAAGAGAAGTGCATATTCACCTCAGATGCCTATTTTTGGATTGGGTCTTCAGATTTGAGGGGTTTGATTTTTAAAAATTCTTTATATGTTCAAGATATAAGTCCTTTGTCTGTGGGATAACTAACTAAAATTTTTTCTTACTTTAGGTTGTATTTTCACTCTATTGGTGATTTTTTTGTTGTGCTAAACCTTTTTAATAAGATGACATCCCAGTTGTTGATTCTTCGTTGCATTTCATTTGTGATCAGATTCAAAAATCCTCGATAAATACTGGCAAACAGAATGCAGCAAATCATCAAGAAGATTCTATTATCAAGTAGGATTCATCCCAGAGAGGCAGAGATGGTTCAACATACACATATCAATAAATGTAATATACCACATTAATAGAGCCAAAGACAAAAATGATGTGATTATCTCAATAAATGCAAAGAAAGAGCTTTTGACAAAGTCCAACATCCATTCATGATAAAAACTACATAGAGAATTAGAATAGATGATCTTTATCTCAATCTGATAAAAGCCAACTATGACAACCCTACAGCTAACACCATACTAAGTGGTCAAAAACTGAAAGCTTTCACTCTGAAATCAAGGAAGAATGTCCACTATAACTACTCCTATTCAATATAGTTCTGGAAATATTAGCCAGAGCAATTAGACAAGAGAAAGGAATAAAAGGAATAAGCACCGGAAAGGAAGAAGTTAAATTATCGTAATTTGTGGATGACATGATACTCAATATAGAATACCTAAAAACTCCATCAAAAGGCGTATAGATTTAATAAGAAAATTCAGTAGTATAGCTGGATACAGATCCAACACTCGAAAATCAGTAGCATTCCTATACACAAACAACAAACTCAGAGAAAGAAATTAGAGAAATCACACCCTTCACAATAGTATCCAAATAATGAAATATTTAGGAGTCACTCTCACAAGGGAAGTAAAAAATCTATGCAGTGAAAATTACAGTAATCTGACAAAAGAGATGGAGAATATCAGACACTGGAAAGATATTGCTCATGGGTAGGAAGAACCAACATAGTGAAAAATGGCTATACTCCCAAAATTGTTAAACAAATTTAATGCAAGTCCAATCAAAATACCATTAGTATACCTCACAGAGCCAGAGAAAATATTCCTAAAATTCATTTGAAACCAGAAGAGACCCAGAATAGCAAAAGCAATTCTGGGCAACAAAGGCAAGTCAGAGAGCATCACAATCCCTGCCTTGAAATTATACTACAAAGCTACTGTGATAAAATCAGCATGGTACTTACAAAAAACCAGACCTGAGGATCAATGGAACAGATTAGAAGATTCAGACACAACTCTAAATACATTCAGCCCCCTTATCTTTGACAAAGGGGCCAAATATGTTTACTGGAAGAAAGATAGCCTCTTTAATGAATGGTGCTGGAAAAACTGACTTTTCACTTGCCAAAGACTAAAACTAGACCCGTGTCTATCCATGTGCTAAACTAAAATCAAAATAGATCAAAGGTCTAAATATTAAAATAAACGTAAAATATACTGGAAGAGAAAATACATAGTAATCTTGACATAAGTGTAGGCAGAGACTTCCTGCACTATATGTTTTTGTGTGATAGACTCATGACATCCTACTTAGCACAAAAATTCAATGCAAGCTCATCTTTGTTGTTCACACTACAATATCCTCAGCATACAGCACAGTGTTCAGCACCAAGTAGCCATTCAATCCATACTTACAGAATGAAGTGCTGATCCATTCTACAATGTGTGATTTGGTTACTGCACTTTGTAAATGTGAATTTAGAAGGTAGAAGTGAAGAATGCCTGTTCTCCTCTTTCTGGTATATAAATATGTATAGTTGGGTTTTTGGTGTTTGAAAGGGTACTGAGGAGCCTGTTGGACACCAAGGAGGTAAGAGCTCTCAGGGGCTAGGGAGATGTTTACACTGCAGCTTGGGTTCCTGACCAAATGACATACTGCTGCCACCTGCTTCCATCCACCTTGGCATCCCATGAGTACTGGCTTGGATATGGCAGGAAGGGAGCGAGGCAGGGAGGATTTACAAAGTTATTGTACTCTGGCAGCTAAAGGCATTTGTAGCATCTCTGTGAGTTGGCCCAGGGTTGCAGTTTTGCCATTGTGGTTGTATTGGGTTTGGAATGTGGTCGGGTCATCACTAAAGATTCTGTTGTGTAAGTGACCTTTGCCTAATGCCTTTGCCTAGCGATCTCTGTATGTCACTTTGCTCCATTTGTAGCCACATCTGTAAAGAAGGAAGGGCCTTGGGCTGTAGCATGGTTACCACAGCCCAATGAGAAGCACTGTGTACTTAGTGGGAAAACACATTTAGATCCAGATGGCTACAAAGTACAGCCCTGGTTCTACCACTTCCTTTTTGTGTGTGTTGAGACAACTTAGGTCACCTCTCTGTTTCCTTGAACAGTGAAATTGAGATTACAGTCCTTACCATGTGGGATTTGGTGTGTGTATGTTTGTGGAGGGATTGATGGAGTGGTGATATTGGCATATTTACAGTGTAACTATAGCATAGTAACACTGATATAGTATCAAAATACTATGATGGAGATGGGTACAAAGTTATAGATCACTAAGGAAAGCAAAAATGACTGTGTGGATCAGGTGGTATTTTAGCTGTGTCTTAAATGCTAACAACAGCGACAGAATGATAGCATCCTATACGTGTGTTATATGCCATGTTGTATGTGTTGTGTACTTGCGTGGCTTATTCATCCCTCAAAGTGTAGAAAGCAAACTTGGACAGCTAAGTGATGAGGTACTCTCAGGCAGTGAGGATTCCACTCCCTTCCTTGCCCCCATCCCCCCTGTCCCATGTGCTCAGCCTGTCTGAATTCTCTTTAAGGGCCTAAGACTCATTTATGGTGATACTCATGAGGAGATGAGCAGGTCACACCAGCAGGCAAGCCTGCACTTGACCCTTAGCTTTTTAGACGGGGTGTTTTCTTTGAGGTTGGTATTACAAATAAAAGTGCTGACCTGTGGTGTCATGCAATCGTGTGTGGGAGCAGGAGGAGAAAGACGGTGGGAGGCGGGGGCAGCCTTCTCCTAGTGTGGATGTGAACAGTGCCAATAAGCTGTCAAATAGAATTATGGTTCAAAACATACAGCCTTCAATTTGATTTCCCTAAGATGCTGAGTGCTGCTCTGAGGGAATACAATCGATTCTGTTTTGACAGCTGTTGATGTATGCTAAGCAGGAACCATCTCCACTCTGTGCGGATTAAGAAAAGTTCACCTTAATTTGCAACTTCAGGGAAAGCATATCTGGGATTGAGATGACACCTGCTCGTCTCCCTTTTGTGGTTCTCTTCCTCCAAGCTTCTCCTGTGTGCTCCTTACTTGCATCTTTCTCTGACCTGTCCTTTTTTTTCCTTTTTCTTAGCACCTTTTTGCATTCCTTTTTCATTTTCTCTCCTCCACATTTTAAAGAAAAGGATGGAACCTACACTGCCTGTCCCACACTATGCGTCTGCTTTCATGCACTGCTTTGTTTGATTCCTGTGACATCTGTAGGAAGCTGGTAGAATTGTGCCCACGTTCCAGGTGAGCAGGCGGCAGTTACGGTGCTTAACAGCTTGCTTGAACTTGTACAGCCAGTAAGTAGCAGAGGTGGGCATTCAAACACACACCTCTGTCATTTAAAAGTTTATGTTTCCATATCCAAATTCCGGAGCCTGGAAGAGCATTATAACTAATTAGGGAACAGAAAAATACCAGTGCTTCTGCATCAGTCCCAGACATACATGCTTGATGACCTTCTACAGTAGCCAGAATGGGAAGCTGGACCTTCTACAGAAGCCGGAATGGGAACCTGCCTAGCAGACTGGTTTTCTTTTTTCCTCATTTTTATGAGCACATAAGTGGATGCACATGTTGAGCTAGATAGCAAAAGAATCCTTAAGACTGATGGAGACATCTCCTGTGCCTTCGAGGTGAAAGGACTTGCCCTTTTAGAAGTCAGTGGTGCGAGAAAATAGAGGTGTGTCTTTGTGTTTGTGATGCAGGTGGGCAAGTGGGAAAACCAGACGCTGAGCCTGAGGCACGCTGTGTGGCCAAGGTACAAGTCCTTCTCTGACTGTGAGCCAGATGACAACCATCTCAGCATTGTCACCTTGGAGGAAGCTCCTTTTGTCATCGTGGAGGACATAGACCCGTTGACCGAGACCTGTGTGAGGAACACTGTACCCTGTCGGAAGTTTGTCAAGATCAAGTGAGTGTCTGCAGAGCCGTTGCCTGTGTGCTTGTCAATCCTTTTAAATAGCCTTTTAAATAGATAGTAACAGTGCCTGTAATTCAGCCATAAAATGGGGAAATAGAAAATATGCACTATCATAATAATAAAAATAGATCAAAAGACTTAAGTGCCTGCAGAGACATCATGTTTAAGTTTACTTAATTCTAATAGCAGTATGAGATGGATAGATTTCCCCATGGTAAACTGATAAAACTGGGTATGAGAAAATTAAGAAACCCGTTCAAAGTCATCAAGCAAGTGAGAAGGTACAGCCCAGATGCTGGTCTGTCTGACTGCGAGCTGAGTTCTTACCATCTCATGGGATGAGCAGGCCCTTCAGTCTTTTCTTCAAGGAGTGATTTCCCTTCTGTGCCTTTAGCTGCCCCTTCATACTCCCCTTCCCCAGTAATTCTTCTCTCTTCTAGCTTTCATATTTCCAGATCCACACTTTTCCAAAGTTTTACAAATTTCCCTCCCTTTGAGAGTGGATGCCACTTGTATATGACTTTCAAATGTAATCCAGGTAAAAATTGACCTGGCAGTGTTGTTTGCACCATCTTGTCTTCTGCTATGTCAGAAAGATCTGGCATCATGGATCAAGGGTCTACTTTAATCTGTGCACCTGTTAGAATCAAAAAGCTCTATAACCAGGTCGAAGACCCTGATCTTTCCTGAGGCAGACATTTACCGTGCACCACCTTTGTTGGGGACTCACAGAAAAAGAAAGCCTGCTGTGGGTAGAATCCTCTTTTCTGAATATTTTCTGATCACTTCTTTCCACCTGCCCAACCCCCACTTACCCTTTAAGCTTGGTCATTGCCATCTCAAATTGGGCTAGCTCTGCCTGCTTACATTGTACCCTGGATAATCTCTACCTCTATCCTCACTGTGTCTTTTTATAGCTTATAGTTTGTCTGCCCTTTCCCTGAATGATGAGCTCCCAAATATAGAAGATGTGTCTTATTAATCTTTGTACTCTTAGTGACAAGTACAGAGCATAATACACTAAGGTTTGTTGAATGATTAGATGATGGATGAATAACTTCATTCCTCCACTTCAGACCATAACCTCAGTCGTTATTCCCAAAGATGCAAGTCTGAAGATCTCGGTGCTTGGGACTAGGGTATATATTTTGTAAAATGTTTTTGATTGCTGAGCGCATTATAAAGCCACACTTTGCTTTGGAGGAAATTTTATCAACAAAGTTATTAAAGTCAATATCTTTGGAGTTAAAATTCTGACTAGATGATGAAGTATAAATGTCTCCGCTAAGTAGATCTCCCCCTTTCTAGTACCTCCACCATGGCTCCCAGATCAAGAGACTTACTTTGGTTAAACAATCCAAACCTCTATCCCCTGGAGATGAGGAAGAGGTGACGCTTATCAAAGCAGCACAAGAAATGATGCCTTCATGGTTTTTGCTAGAATCTTCAAAATTAAATAACACAGATGTTATTATAGATAAAACAAGTAAACAAATACAGAAGTATGCCTGAGGCACAGTTTACACATAAGGCACAGTCCTGAGCACAGTGGAGAGACTGATAAAGAAAGCAAAACACAAGTATCTTGCAGTCATGTGATAGACACATGAGAAAACCTCTCAACCAGTGAAAGAATGGGACAGTCCATGTTGTGATCCACTTTGTACAGAAATAGATAAGATTGTCTTATAAGAGATTATATCTGGGTATGTTGGGCCTTCATTAGCACACATGGGTCGTGGTTTAAGATGGTAAAGGAGAAAGTATGAGATGGAGCCAGACATGGAAAGGCCTCAGAGAAGAGCCTCTTAGGCAGAGAGAAGAATGGGGGTAAAGGCCCTGAGGAAGGAAAGAACTGTACAAGTTTGGAAAACTAAAGAAAAGCCAGTAAATGCAAGAAAGATAGGGACTGGTGGAATTGAGAAAGCATGGGGAAGCTGTCAAAGGAGTTTGTGATTTGGGGGTCTGTTCTACCAGCAGAAGTTGATCCCATGAAGACAGCGGAGTGTCTAGCACAAAGCAGAGTCTGTAACCTCAGTAGGACTCCTCCTTTCTGAGAATAACACCTCTGATAATGACCCTGGTCCCAACAGGGCCATCAGGTGGCGCCTCCTGTGCTTCACAGTCAGTAAGAATAGTTTAAAATCCTTAAAATCAGTAGCTGTGAAGGTTAGAGCAGGTAGAACATTAAATCTTGAGCTATATTACTGTAAAGAAAAATGAATCCAAATAAATTGCTCCTTTTAAAATAATTGACTTATTTGTTGAAGACCATTGACAGCCTAAACCCATGTTTTTGGTTCCTATGTGAAGTGGTAGCTTCCCGTTCCCACATGGGGACATGGGTTCCATGTATCTGTGTGAAGCAGAAGTCTGACTTAGCTGAGATCAGTAGCAAAATGCTAGGATTTATTAATGCCAACATTAACACAGATTAGATCAATTACATTTCCGAAAGCCAAAGGTTTAAGACAGGCTGACAGACTGCAAAAAAATTCCTGTGAGACAACGTGATTATATTTGTTTTCTTGGTAATACTCTTCCAGGGAAAACGCTGTTTCTCACTTCTGGTAAATGATGAGTTCTGGAGGTTATATACCAGCCTAAAAAACCAGAATGAAATGAGAAATTAATTTTTTTCCTAACTTATTAATTGTGTGGCAAGTGCATGGAGAAAATTATTTGACCTGATCTGCAGGAAAAAATGACCATACTGTCAAATCATTGGTGGGAAGAGAAAAGATTTATTTTTAAATGGTTATATGAGACATGCTATAGATACTATATTTTATTTAATCTTCCCAATCATCCTGAAAAGTACAAGCCTTCTAAATGCATGCTCATTGTGAGTGGTGAGTCTTAGACATGAGTTTTTATGGTTGGTAGGATCCAACCCAGGATCTAAACACACTTTTATATGACTTGTGTGGTTATGTTCCTGTCTCCTGGCCACACTGCAAAATTGTGGAGGCAGTAAATTGGCATTTTTTTTTTGGATCTTTTACCTATATTGTTTTTATAATTCACCTTTTCTTTTGAGTGGCCAAAGAGCTGAGAGAAACTTCATGAGTACACAAGGTTTGGGAAAGGAGCCAACTATGGGTTTCCACACTTACTATGCACACTAAATTAGTACAATTGCTCCATGCCTCTTCCATCCTGTATCCCCAAGTTCTGGTTTCCTAGTATGGAGAAAGTTCTCAGTGGGCACCTATTGGGCAAGAATGTATCCTTAACCATCTATATCTAAAAGCATACTTTGGAGTGAGGGGATATTCACTTATAAACTGGCTGAGATTCCCAGTAAGACTGGAGAATACCATACATACCATGATCCTGAGTCTTATTTCTGGAGTGTTGTGACTTCTGTTTATCCCTACAACTTAGGAATCTTGACCAGGTGAAAGAAAAGATTGTAACAGAAGAAGGTAAAGAGAGCAGATAATGAAAGAGATACAAGTGAGTAGAAACAGGGAAAAGGGACTATAGTTTTAGGGAGAAAGAGAAAATTTGACTTTAGCACATTTTTCAGAGCTATGCATACTAAGAAGAAAATGGCATTTTGTTATGCCATTGATTTCATGTATTTGAGACACACGTCTATCCCGTTTCTGGCAGTTTTAACTCCAGCCTGACCCACCTGTGCTCTGGGTCACTGATCAGGTTGGGCACACACTCATCTCCCAAGGGTCTATAGCATGGAGCACACCAGTCATTGCAGGTGAATGTGCAGCACTCAGATGTGGGAGCTGAAGGTGGCAGGTCAAAGCAGGTCACCCGTGTGACCACCCACATGGTGGTCTTGGCCAACAGCAGCAGGATGGTTGAGCCAAAGGCAGGGCACGATAAGAGGATGAAGCAGTTGGTGATTCCAGGTAGGCATTCTGTGGTCCCAAGACAAAGGAAAACATTGAAAAGGGTGCATTTGCAACTCACTTCAATCAACTCAGAGTTATAGTGTCCAATGTGTCCACATTCATGGCCATACCTACAAATATAGACCAATACTGCTGAGTATAGTGCACATTCCACTTTATGGTACACGCTCATTAGATTATTTGGGGGAGATACCAAAAATATGACAAATAAATCATTTCCTACCATTCAAAAATAGCTATGCTTCACGTTTTTCTATCCAGTTATTTCATGAACTTATCTGCCCTTATATATCTATGATTATTTTGTTTGTAACTATTTGTTTCATGAGAATGTACTTTCCTATTACAATATTGGATTTCCATGAACATCCTTTTTTGTTAACTTTTCAAAGGGTAGATGTACCAAAAAAATAATTTTAAAACAGAGAATATTTTCTGGTATGCATGGCTGAGACAAAGTTGAGCTAATGGGATGCCCTAGTGCAAAGTAGGGTCAAGTATATTGCTCAAAGAGGATGTGGTTTTCCTACATGAGTTGCACAGGTACTTTTCACTGCCTGGTTTGGGAATACCAGTGTTTCTTTCATTTTTAAAGATATGTGAGCTTTATTTAGCCCTCCTTTGAGTATGACTTGGTCAGGTGAATAAATTAGAGTGGTGAGAGGCAGGCAGTCAGTATAATATTGATGGATGACAAGACAGTATTTAAGATGGCAATGTCCTTTCAATCCAAATAAGACCTTTTCCTAGTCAAAGGCATGCCTTATCCAAAGAGTGCCATTCACATTTCATGCCCTGTAGGTTTGTAGGGAAAATGTTATAAATGACATTTTATGATACAGTTGGTTGTATCATCAGAAGTCAAGTCCGCAGACTCCAGCATAGGGAGAACTGTGAATTCTTCATGGTTTTCTAGAGAACCTCACTTCTTCCCTTTGGTTTTAACTATTTGTAACTAGAGAGTGAAGTAAAATCCCACTTCATTTGAGAATTTCACATCTGCTTCTCTCTACTACCCATATGCTTTTATGATTCAATGTACATCAAATGACTAAACTTAGAGCCTAAAGCAGTGCATTATAAACTCTTAAAACTAGAGGTGATGACTCTCACCTGTTTTATGGGGTACAAAAGATATGTAATTCAGTGAAATGTGGAGGGTAAGCCAATAATTAGTATGCAACATTTAAGAGTGCCTGGCCATAATAATTACTCAGTGTTAGCTCTTTTCATGATAGCTGTTATAATTAAGAACACTTTCTACTTTTGCTATGCTAAACTCACTATGTGTCCTAGGAAAAGCCACTGTATCCTTTCTGAGCCACAGTTTCCTGTCTGAAATATACAAGAGTTTCACTAATCAAGTGCACAAGTCTTCTAGTAGTAAAGTTCTGTGGTCTTGTGACTGTCTTCACAGCAATTCAACCAATGAGGGGATGAATGTTAAAAAGTGCTGCAAAGGCTTCTGCATCGATATCCTGAAAAAGCTCTCAAGAACAGTGAAATTCACTTACGACCTCTACCTGGTGACCAATGGGAAGCATGGCAAAAAGGTTAACAACGTGTGGAATGGAATGATCGGTGAAGTACGTTGCCTTCCCTCCTCCAGGCTCTCCATCTCCTGTAAATCTTGGGTGTGCTGGGAAGAATAAGTGAACATACTGCTCTTTCTTGGATCCAGGTGGTCTATCAGCGGGCTGTGATGGCTGTGGGCTCCCTCACCATCAATGAGGAGCGCTCTGAAGTGGTGGACTTCTCTGTGCCCTTTGTGGAGACAGGAATTAGTGTGATGGTTTCAAGAAGTAATGGCACCGTTTCACCTTCTGCTTTTCTAGGTACGTGACCTTCATAGTGATTACTGCTTTTCTTTAAGGAATTCTAGGTCTTTTTTCTTGTGGTTCAAATAGCATGATCAAGTGTGGTGTGGTGGTACATGCCTATAAACTCAGCTACTTGGGAGGGTGAGGCAGAAGGATTGCAAATTTGAGGTCAACTTGAGTAACTAAATTAGGCTCTGTCTCACAAAACATAAAAATGGTGTGGATTTAGCTCAGTGGTAGAACACCCCAGAGTATTTTGCATTTGAATCACTCCAGTGCACACCCATCTCCCCTGGACTCCTTACTCCACATCATTCATTTATCTTGGAATCTTCTGCTGATAAAAGTACTATCCTATTTTCAGATATCTGTCTTAACTTTATAGAATGTAAATTAATAGATGCTTTGCTGAGAGCCTTGAAAACATTTAAAAAATAAATAAACCTGTGTTGATTTAAATCAACCGATAAACCTTTACTCAGCATCCCCACATATCTCAAACTAGGATGGTACTCATTCATTTGCTAGTGTGAGAGGGAAAATAATAATGACTACACAGTGATTTATGACAGTACTCTGATAAGCAAAATACCAACGAATGATTTGAAGAATGTACACTGATTTTAAATTAAGAGGATCATATTTTAAATATGGCTATTTTTTTGAGCCAAAAAACTTGTAGAACAGAAAATCCATTTGACTCTTCTTGTAAACATTTCATAAATTTTTATGTTCCCATAAATGTTTTTTTCTAAAGTAAGATAAAGTTGTATTCTCTATGGTTTTTTTTAGTTGTTGTTTTCAGCACTGTAACTGTATGTACATTATGTTGCCTGGGTAGGATAGTCAAAATTTCTTGAAATGTCCAAGCACTATTAATTTTTTCTTTAAAGTGTTGTGTCAACTATTGAGTATTTTCAGTAATTACTTTATTGAAGATCGTGGAATTCAAATTAACTCCTCCTTGGCATACCTGTATACATGGGTTTATGCTAAATTTGGGGAGATTAAAATGATCTTTATTCTTTAGAGAAAACTGCATCAGAGAGAGAAAACAATTTTGTGAAGGCTAACTGAATTTCTCACATTTTCCCCAGACACTAAGATGTTTATTAAAGAAAATTGCTCATTTTACCCAACTTGTGGACGCACACACTCCAAGCCCATAGTCTTATTTTTCCAACATCTTTATTTACCTGTTACGTTAGCATCCAGTGAAACTTTCATGCTTCTTGCTCTTGAGTGAAATGTTGACTAACAGGATTTCAGGATACTGCCTTACTCTCAGAGGCATGCGGATTTACTATTTTCATTTTTGATAATCCGAGTAAGCTGTTGAAATCCCTGCTACTCACTGGATTGGTCTTGCGCTCATTGCTTTTTTTGGTAACTTTTGCTGTAGCAAGATGGTGCTTGATGAATGCATACTTCAAGTATCTTCCTTTTGTCCCTTTTGTCTGACATATGTATGTATGCCAGTAACTCAATAAGGGAACCTCATTGTACAAGGAAAAATGCAACTAACTGATATTGACATGTATAGAGTCTTAATTATTAGATGAATATTCACTCTTAAATCACCATTAGTCATATTTGCCCCATTGCCCATCAGACTCTTTGATGGAGTTGCCTTGCCCTGGGATATAAAAAAATGATGGAAGAAGTGAGCTTATAAAAAAATTTTTCAGAATGTGTCCCTATGTCTTCTTAGTGAGCTAGAGAGAACTTTTTCCCCAGTTCAATCAGAGAGAAAAATATCTCTTGGATTGTCTCATAAAAATGGGTCACTGATAATAAATCTGGCTTCAACCCAGACAAAAAACTAATTTTTTGTCTTACCTGCATCTGTAGAACATTTCTATTAAAAAGTCAAGCATTTTGTTAAATTTAGGAACCCCCCGTGCTCTTTCTACTATATCTTTAAAAATAAAATAACATAAATTATAGTCTGAAGAGACTATTTTCAAAGCTGTTTTTATGCAGTAGATTTAATATTTTTCCAAGTCACTAAATTACATCCCTATTCAATTGACTGTGCACCCCTTATTTACAGTCATTATCTTGAGGTTTTGAAAGTCATAATGAACCATGCTAAGCTACATTTTTCCATTCACTAGCTCAGTCATCTGGAAGAGCCAAAACATTCAGAATCTGATTGCATTGCTCTTCATTATTTCCTATTCTCTGTCCTCCGCAAACCCCATTAACTTACACTGGAAACATTTGCAGGTAATGCCACAAGCTCTTGTGTAAAAACTGTAACCAGTGGCTTATTCAAGGACAGAGATGACATCTCTTGCAGGATTCTCATCTAGTTTATTCTAAAGACTTTTCAAGCAGATTGGATTCTTTGATCTCAAGAAATGCTGATCTGGAGTCTCCTGGATTGAAACTTTTACATAGACAAATGTTGAATCTTTTTCAGACATATAATCCATACCAATTTTAGAATATTTCTTGATCAATCTTTAGACATTACAGACATTGCTAACGTCCTAATGTTTTTTCTTCGCTGTGTATTGTGCCTGTGGTATGCATGGGTAGTGCTGAAAACAGCAGTCTTCTAGACACTTATATATTCGAGCTACTAGAACCAGAATACTGCAGCAGAATGCTTTGATCTCTCTATCATGATCACAAGTCAGGGGACAAAGATTGTCAATTCCAAGTTAAAACATGTCTGGGATCGGTTAGTTGCTTGATCAACTTCCATCCGATTTTCTGATCAGTATATTAGCGACAAGATGTGTGGGCCTACTGAAGTCTACTGCAGTTATGGATTGTTTCTTTCAGAAGAATTCAACAGTATCCCCGTTTATTTCTTATAATGTTATCACAGCATACAGAAAAATGAAAGTTATCAGATTAATAAACATTTCTGTATTAAATTATGGTACTTTTACAGTACCATGGGTCACACACTGCGCTCACCATTTCTGGCTTCAATGATGACATTGAACAGTATTTTCATTTATTGTATTGTAATCATGCAGTGTGCAAGGCCTGGTACCAAGTGCTTTACATGTGCACACACATATCTTGGTCACAGTGATCCCACTCTGGTGAGAAACACTATGCTATTCCTGTACCTGACTCAAAGAATCACATTAACATCTCTATTCTTGAATACTAAATAGTTCTTAACATTCCAATTGTTAATTTACTTACCCTCTTTTCTGGATACACCTCATTACCAAACTCATGATTTGAGGGACGTAATATTGTTTATTACTCAAGCTAAATTTAACTAAGATAAATTTCAGTTTCCATCTAATTGATTTTTTGGAGCTCATTTTGTGTTAAGTTGTGTTGTTACCTTTGCTTTTTAACATATTTGCACTATCAAAAAATTCCACTGCTGGGCATTTGTTTCAGTTTGTGAGTTATTAGATGCAGTTAAAGCTTCAGTCACATTAGTTTCTTGTTAAATATTAAGCTCAGTAAATTAGAATTTGTGATGACCTCCAGCTGTGTTTTAAAGTGATGAACACCAATAAGATTGCCTGCAGTCAATCTAGTTTTTTATTATTATTACTAGCTTCATCAGAATACAATTGAAAAATAGTAAAATGTTTATTATTCAAGAAAAGTTATTGCACTTATTATAGTTTATCCCCAGAAAATGCTTGCTTCTGAGGAAAAGAATTGTAAGTTTACTGATGTTCCCAGTGATGCAATTAGGTGGAGATATAGTCATTCTTAAAATTTTGCTCTCTATTGATTATCTAGTAAATCTGTGTTGTAAACAATGGTTTCAGTTGGCTAATTTTATATCTCAACAAAGTTGAATAAAAATGCTAATTTATTTTATATAAGATCTCTCACCTTTCTAGAATGTTTAAGATTCAGAACTTTGTGACTTGACCTGCCTTTCTAAGACATCTATTGCCTAAATTACATGGAAATGAATAGGTAAAAATGACATTTAGGGGAGAAATTACCACCTGTCTAATCCATCTGCCACTTCATTGCCTTCTCCCTCCTTCTCCATCTTTCTACCAAGGGTTGAACCCAGGGCCTTTGCACTGAACTACAATCCAGTCCTTTTTATTATTGCTTTTGGGTCAGGGTCTCACTTAGTTGCCCAAATTGGGATCAAACTTGTGATCCTCTTGCTTCGGTCTCTCAGAGTGTCTTTCTTTAAATTATGCTTTTTAACTGAATTCTCATGTGAACATAATGTTTTTATATGATTTCAATTGCATTTAACCCTTTTACTAGCATTAGAAATATTTATCAAACAACAAGAGCTCGTCTGGCTACAGCTGGACAGATGGAGTCATAGATGCAGATTATGGACTTATAACACTCTTGTCAACCCTATGATTTATAATTCTTTCTAAATCATTGTAATTCTCCCTGCTTGCACATCATTTCACCAGTATGTAAAAAATAAAAATTAAAAAAGCAAACAACAGTAAAAACCTTGCCTGTTTGCAGAAGCCTTGTATGAACTATTTGAGTTCTATTCTTCTATGCCTTTGATTCAGTGGATGGTTCTATAATTATATTCAACTTTCTGGCCTGTTTATTTGCATTCTGAATTTCCCCTTTGGTCTTATCAATTCTTTTGTGTTTCTGTTATCCTTGACCTGACTTGTAAAACTGTCATATAGTTTTATCTATTTTTACCATATTATATATGCAGTCTTTTGAAGGGCCTCAAATATTGTGCATAATAAGGAATGATTTAAGTGTAAGAATAAAAAATAACTAGCTTCTCTTGAATGACCAGTTTGTAATTAGGGTTTCTTGGTGAGCCTGCAAATGGACTTCTTGCTGGAGGATTTAATGGATCTTGCTTCAATCATTCTGTTGTGTTTACCTACAGAACCATTCAGCGCCTCCGTCTGGGTGATGATGTTTGTAATGCTGCTCATTGTGTCTGCCATAGCTGTTTTTGTCTTTGAATACTTCAGTCCTGTTGGATACAACAGAAACTTAGCCAAAGGGAAAGGTAAGGAATCCTGTCCAAGCACAGTTCGAAGTTGATGTTATTTCATTTACCATCAACGATGATTCCTGTTTTAGAATACATTGTCCAATCTTGCCTTGGTATCCCATCATAGTAACACTTTCAGACCATTAATATGATCTGTAATGGCAGGTCACTGTGGTTATTCATGTCAACTGGAAAAAGGATAGAACAAAATGGATCACTTTAATCTTCTTACAAAGTAAAAGCAGTAGTTGTTAGATAAAAATCCTTGATATTTCTTGAGAAAGCAAATTTGAAGATTTTTGGCAATTAGTTTTCAAAATGCCTATGAAAAGAAATAGTAATATGGCGAGTCTTGACTTTAGCTTATACAAAGAGAATGGCTTATCAGCTATAGCTTAAAAACATTCCTCAGACTAGCGAATCATATTTGCTTTAGTTTGATAATAAATACTGTTATAAAATGTTTTCCCCCAAAGAGTTACATTTTTCTCTTTCTAAAATTAACTTTACTGGTTCTGTTTTGATATACATTTATAATGTCTGACCTTCAGATACTGTACTTGATAAAAGGATAATTAATAGATAAGAAATTAAGTTGGGAGACATTTACTGTTATAAGTCACTGCGAGGCTTCCACACAAGTTAGTTCTCAATTCACTGAATCATTTGAGTAGATTTTTCACAAGGCACAGTATTTTCCATCTGGATGATATCAGAAAGATGCAAGAACCAAATCTTTGTGCTGAAAGATGACTTGCTATAGTAGAGGACAGGACACTCTGATGTCTCCAATGCACCTCTGAATAGGGCACATACTATTTTCACTTGAAGATTTTATATTGGAAATAGCCAGCAGGCCAATGGAATCTGTTAGGAACTTAGTTTTATTGAAATTCGCCCACTTCTTCTTTACAATTTATGACTGAAGATTATACTACATAAACTACCTCCAATCAACTGAAACAGTGAAGTGTGATAAATAATTGTATTGTGTTTAGGAGAGAGATTTTTAGCCTTCACTAAGAGAGCAATGTAACTAGCCATTAAAGACTTTCCATTGGAATGGAACTGGGATAGTTTCCTGTACATAAGCATACTGGTGTAAAATAGAACTTTAAGTTTTTATGATCAGAGTTTGTATAATTTTGAGTTCACACATTTACTGGATGAATAATTATTGTATAGATATCATGTTTCCATGTGCCAAGCACTGTACTGGAGTAGGAGATAACAAGCTGAATCAGGTGGAGATTTCTTCATCCTCAGGGATCTTAGAATTTAGTTGTGGAGGCAGCATGCAAACACATAGAGTAATAATCACAGATTTTAATAAATGTCAAGAAGAAACAGAGAAAAGCAGAATGATTTGGAGGAGATGGATAGGGTGTTGCTTTAGATAGCATGTTGAAACAGAGAAGGATGCTCAGAAGCAATTAGATTAAGCTGAGACTTGAGGGGTGAAAAGGAAAAGCATTCCCTGCAGAGGGAACAGCGAATACAAATGCCTGGAGGTGGAACCCATTCTGGCATGTTTAAGAAACACAGACGTGGATGAGTGAGATGGATAACAGGATAAGATGAAGGCAGATGGAGAGTCGGTTGAGCATGGTAAACAAGCATTTTCTTCAAAATACCATGGGAAGGAAGCAGTGTGATGAATTGTAGAGGTCACTGTGTACTCTGCCAAGATAACAGGAAGGAACAGCATCAGTGGAAGCAGGGAGACCAGTGAAGAAGAAGGTGCCATGGTTTTCTAAGGAAAAGGGTTTATGATATTCTGATCTTGTGGGTAATGCCCAGTGATGGAACTAAGTGGACACATGTGAGAAGCACACCGTGGAGGGGAAAGCTGATGCGAAGAACATCACGTGTAGTTTCTTCTTGGCAGAAGTGTGCAGAAGGTGACTATTGTAAAGAAGAAGAAAATCTAACGGGCAAACCCTCCAGACCTCTCACTGTGTTGACCCATCTCCTGCTCATGTGCAGGTGATGATTCCCAGGAAACAATACCTCCTTAGATCTTCTGGGCAAAATGGCTTTATGCTACCTTCTGTTGTGCCTATAGAGAAAGTGATGTGCCCAGGAATAGTGTTTACTAATCAGGAATTCCCAGCAGGGCTGGAGGAGGTCCCTTGGAACAAGCTATTTCTGATTCCCAAATCGCTATCATTTCTGATTAACAATGCAGCTCTAATAAAAGTAAGTAGTTTATGAAGTTAACTGGATTGATTTCAGTTATTCTTTTTTTCTCAGCATGCCCAGCCTCTTGGAAATAAGGCCAGGAGATCATAAAAGTAGACAAAAAGGAAACAGGCACGTTTGAGAACAGAATTACTAACTTCACTTTATTGTATTCTCTTACGTCCATTCTAAGGATACTGGAGCCTGGGCTGGGCCTCTAGTGTGCAAAAATCTTGTTTTTCTTCGGCTCCATGCCCAGAATTTCATTACTTCCATCAATCTGAATTCACTTCTGCCACTTATTTATTGCCCAGTCTGCTTGCATTGCCAAGTGAAGTCTCAGTAGATCATTTTTTCATATCTTCATTTACTTAAGTGACATAAAAATTAACCTCCTGTTAAAAGAAGACCTTTTTTTCCCGCTTGTTGAAATGAGGGCATAAATTGATTTTTTTCTCCTCATGCAAAACAAAGACTTGAAAATCTTAATGTGAGTGTTTTACAGCCTGCATATGCCCCATCCCAATAAATTTTCACATATTGCTTTGCCTCTTTAGTTGTGTCTGCTACAAGGAACATTTAAGAATCTTAAAAGGGACACATGGCTGTTGTAAGACTACACAGAGGAAGAAAAAGTGCTGTGATATTAGAGTTCATTTTCCATAACCCTGTAGTGAAATGTCTTCCATCTGTGAAGTGATGGAAGAATTAAGCTCTATTGTTCTTCCACTTAATGTCTCCATTTGCAGAGAATTTTAGTTTGATCTAATTTTTATATTGTGCACACTTTCCATGTGAATTTGAACAGGAACAATTGTTAGGGACAATCAAATTTGAGTATCAAACATCAATCCCAATGAATTGCATGGCTCTTGTCTGATAGCACATTCGATGAATATGAAGCAGCACCCTACCATACACACCAACTCCACATTTTTGTCAGCCTTTCTTTACATGTATTAAGTAGATTGGTTCCCCCAAATGAAAATTAAATCCAAATTTAAGGTAGGTAGTAACACTGCTTCTCATTCAAAAGCTGATTTGGCTTGACCACTTTGTCTGTCTGTCTTTCTTTCTTTCTTTCTTTCTTTCTTTCTTTCTTTCTTTCTTTCTTCTTTCTTTCTCTCTTTCTTCCTTTCTTTCCTCTCTCCCTCCCTCCCTTCCTGCCTTCCTTCCTTTCTCTCTTTTTTCCTAAGAAATGTGGCTAAACATAATTAGATAGAAAAGTGGGAAGGATGCTAATTTTAAAGAAAAAGAAGTTAACTATGGCTGTGATTCCAGGGCTATGATAGGGCACAATTAGTACATGATTCCAGCTTCTGGCGCCCTTTATTGCTGCAGGTGACCCACCATGTAGGTATTGCACATGCATAAGCATGCATTTTGAGAGAATGCTGAATGTGTCTTTCTTTTCTGCAGCACCTCACGGGCCTTCTTTCACAATTGGGAAAGCTATATGGCTCCTCTGGGGCCTGGTGTTCAATAACTCTGTGCCTGTCCAGAACCCCAAAGGCACAACCAGCAAGATCATGGTGTCAGTGTGGGCCTTCTTTGCCGTCATTTTCCTGGCCAGCTACACGGCCAATCTGGCTGCTTTCATGATCCAGGAGGAGTTTGTGGACCAAGTGACTGGCCTCAGTGACAAAAAGGTAAGGTCATCTGGCTTTCCTCTCAGTCTGGGGGTCTGGGTGTGGATCTCAGCTGCTGTCTTTTTTTTTTTTTATATTGGGGATCAAACTCATGACCTCGTACTTGCCAGGCTAGTGCTTATGCCGCTGAGTTAAATCCCTGGCCCTCAGCTGCTGTCTTTAGAAAACAAGTGATTCAGGTGCTTGTTGTTCCAATCCCTCATCAGCTCTAAAGCTCAAAGGGAGAAGCTTTATTTTTTCCTTAATTCAAAGTGGAATATTTCTAAATAAAGTTAGGAACAGAACTTAAGCTTAGTTCTCCTAAGTCTTAAAGATGCTGAATCTAATTTAGAAGCATAATTTCCCCCACGTGGTCATTTCTCACATTTACTCAGTCTCTCTGAGGATGCTGGAATGGATGCTGTATGACTCACTGTAGCTCATGCCTCCCAGTAGACTATGAGGCTGAGAAGGGATGGGGCCTAAGCAGGGAGAAACTCAGGGTACAGGGACACTCATGGTCATAGATTCTCTGTGATAAGTCTCTCATATACTTCATGTTCCACATGAACAAAAGTCATCTCTAAGTGCTACTCAGACAGAATTATCACATGGCTGCTCCTCCCTGTGCAGCTAAGCCAGCCCTTTCTCCTGCTTCCAACTCCACTGAGATTTCTGTAAGGGACAGGAAAGGTACAGGTCTTTTCTTACCTCCCCTGGTCCCTTTTCCTTAGACACATTTGCCCCTCAGGAAGATGGGTGGATAACACCTGCTCTCTCCATTCTCCACCAAATCAAAGTGTGAGGCTTGAGTGACTATTCAGAAATGCACAGAAAGCGAAAGAGAGGTAAACTGGGTGCATTCTCATATGGAAATTTTAATTCAAGAAACAAATTCCGACTCGCTGAGCTCAGCAGTGCTGAGACTGCAGCACAGCAGAGATTTTCTCTTTCCTGGGTGTGAAGATAATTTGTGTCTTTATAAAACCTCCCTGTCCTATCTTGTTGACATAAGTTTGCATATACTCTTTTGGCATTCATCAACAAAGTGCTGAATAGAAAATCAGCCCCTGAAAAGCCTTTACAGCTTACCAATGGTGTACACTGTGTGAAAGAGGTGCAAAGAGGTTCAAAAGAGATGATGAGAGGCTGGGTTGCAAATGGAATCATCCTGACAGCAGCACCTGCGAGCAGCAGGCCTCTCCGGGGGGCCTTCCATGGGGCTGCAGTAGGCGCTCCTCTATTTCTCTGGCACACAAAGCACTTTTGTATCCAATCCCTTCCCTTCCTCTTGCTCATCAAAGCTCCCTCACCCTTTTTTTAATGCTCCAAGTTCTTTTCTACTTCAGTTAGCTTGTGCTGTGTCTCTGTCTAAATGTTTTGCTTACAGGCTTCTGACAATTAGCTCCACAGTGAATTTCAGGTATGGGGGGAAGTATTAACCCCTCAGAGAGGTTTTTCCTGGCTACTGGAGTGAGCTTGGCAGACTGAGCTCATACTCCTGACACACTTAAACTTTTGTGCAGAGAAATAAACAATAGACTTTCAGACATCAGAGAGGAAGAAAATGTCAGGCAAGGATAAATGTCAGAAAGGAAATAAAACCGAGGCGATGAAAACTGGAACGGGGGGAGAGGAAGCATGAGGTGTGGTTAATCAAACAGTGAATGTTTAAATTTTAAAAAGTTAGAGTAAAAGGCACATTATTATTTATCCCCCGCAAAATGCCCCTTCATACACTTCAAACACACTTTCCTATCCTTTGCCACTTTTTGAAGCAATTCTGAGAGCCTTATTTTGTGAGTATCTTTAGTTGGGCTATTATAGCTGCTTCAACATCCTGAATTGATTCAAAATGTTTCCCTTCCATGATTACTTAGATTTTAGGGAAGTCATATGGTGCCAGATCTGTTGAATAAGGTAGATAAAATCACACCACGTCACTTACTTCTGCAAGCCTGCCTTTCTGTTGGGTGGCGCTCAGCAGCACATTCATCATTTGTGATCGCATCTTGTAAAGACAGAAAAAAACGGTCAGAACTGCTTCAGAAAGAGGCAAGAATGATAGAATAAGTCTGCCCCAAGTGAGAGGAAGTATTTAAGAGGAATAACTGACAATGTATCTTTTAGTATAATAAATTTTAAAATGTAAACCTTTACCGTATATTTTGGTCAAATTATGTATATATATATATATATATATTTATGTTGAGCTGAGCTTGCATCAGTCAGCCACTATCCTGAGTGCTTTATACGCACTGTCTTTTTTTCCAAATTTACTTATTTATTTACTTTTGGTGCATGTTTTTAGTACATGCACATAATAGAGCTAGATTTTTAAAAAAATCCCCTTCTCCTTCTCTCTCACCTCCTTTCTTCCTCTAAATCCCTTCTTCCCAGATTGTAGCAGCAAACAGACACATCAAAACATCATTTAGGATTTGGAGGCAGATTTATTTACGTCAAAAGGCACTGACCTTGAAAAAATGTCAAGTTCTGATCTTTGATAGTTTGGGGGTTATATAGGATAAGCAAGCAGGAAGCACACAAGCAGAATATTTGGAAGTTATTGACTGGTTACATTACTACTGATTGGCCTAAGCAAAACTACATCATATATGTTGCAAGGATGTAAGTTCAAACTCCGGGCAAACTCGAAGTTAGGGAGAGCATACAAGTTCAGAGTGTGGGCAAATGCGGAGTTGTAAGAAGCAAATGCTTGAGATAACATATGAATTCAAGCTATGGTGAGTTAGATAAAGAGACTACATATCTGGCATTGGTGGGAGGCAGGAAGACAAATTTGTTCAGGGGAGTGGCTACTCACAGGAAATTTTAACTGTAAAAAGTTAACTCTTTATTTTCCTTTTCAAGATAAGATGAATAACATCAACACGAATGAAAATGTATACACTTTTCACAGAGTTCACTGACCCTTAGGCGGTGCTCAGAGCTTACTGGTTGAGTGAATAAATGCATGGTATGTTACCTGCTGAGCACCCTCACCTGGATCTCCTAGGATTCCTTTTCTAGTCCTCTGTGCCGAGCCCCAGCTTTCCATGCTTTGCAAACAAGGACTTATAGCAGGAATCCTCAGAGGGTTATTATCTTTGGACACTGGAATGGTCAACCCCTTGTATTTAAACTCCGCCTGTCCTTGCTGTCATTTATAACCAGTGTGATGATCATGAAAGCCCAGGTTGCCACTTGCTTTTAAAACAAGACAACCACAGAGGCACAGTGGACTCTTCCTGAAGGATCAGGCAGAGGCTGAGAATTAGCTTTTATCAGACTGTGGCTGGCTTCCTTCTCTGCTCTAGACCTCCCGGTCTTCACGCTCACTCTTTTTGACTTCTCCTGGAGTTCACCGTTAGCTAATCACATTCACGCATTTCCTTGGCTGACAGCCCTGAAACACGAGGCATCTAGGAGGCACCAGTGCGCTGCACAGAGTCAGGAAAGCTGGATTCCTGCTTTCTCTCTGCCACAACTAGCTTTGTCATGTCACGTCACTATGCTTGCTTATTCTTCTCTGTCAGTTAGGGAGACAGAGTTACAGAGATGATCCAAGGAAGCTGCATATGGGAATGTGCCTTCTACCCTGTAAAATCCTCTGCAGATACAAAGCATAGTTATGCGACTTCATTGTTTTAAAAAGAAATTCCTAGAAGGGCCTGGAAGCCATGGTGGAACAAGGGGGGGAGCCAAGTTCCCAAGAAAGAATTTTTCAAGAAAGCAATCTATTTTGCTCTTTGCTGCTATTTTCAAGAGCAAAGAAAAAAATTCCCTCTTTTCATAGTTCTGGGTCTAAATAATAACACTTATGGGAAAACTAATTAAAAGCACCAATAATTAAACCGACCTTCTCCAACTTGGAAACACCCAGTAACAGATACCATAGCCTCACGGGACACAGTTTAGTTTCCACGCTTAGAGCATTAAAGGCAAGCCAATATCTCTTTTAATTAAATGTTGGTTACAAGTAGGTAAACAGAAAGATTCTTAGAGCAAATAAGCTAACTGTTCCTAGAAGATTAACAGTAGACACAGCAAGAAAGTTTGAAAAGTACACATCTATATTGATTCAGTTTATTTTAATACTACCCACAGTGGTGATTGTTTGGTTTTCAATCATAAATAACTGTGCAACAATCAGACTGTACAATACTTTCAAACCTTTAGTGTTTGCCGAGAAGGAAATGCATTTAGAGTCCATGGTGTGCTTAGGTAAGTGTAGGATTACATTCTTATTGAGTTCATAGGACTTACTTCCCTAGGAATTATTAAAGCCAGTTTGAGACATTGGTAGGGACTATTACCAACACATTGAGAATCATTATGATGGAGAAAACTCATCCCTGGAATGGAGATTCAGATAATGAGGGGAGGGGTCACAGAATATCATATTTGAGATCAAATGGACCTGATTCAAATGCTGTTCTTGCCGTATAATAGTTCTATATCTTTCCGTATATGAGGATCCCAAATACATAACTTTCTTATAAAGGGACAATAGCAGCACCTTTCTGGCAAGGTCAGTGTGAGGATTAGATCTCATAGATGATCCTACCATAAGTGTTATTTCTTCTTTTTCACCTCCTCTTCTCATTCTCCTCTGTCATATCTCCTTCCTCCTCTTCCCTGTTTTTCTTCACAATCATCATTACCACCTGACTCAAACCATTCCTCACTTCTAGAGTCTAGAATGCTGTTGCACTTAGCTGGCCTTCTGCAACTGCCTGTGGAGGAGATTTAGAGGACTTCCCTTACCAAGTTGTGTTCTTACGGACTCATACTGCCCCCGTGCACTGTGACTGCCCTGCTGAGTGTCCCTCCGCCCAGGCAGGGAGGGCCCTGAGCCAACCATCCTCTGCTGAAAGCTACACCTGTTTGAGGTCACATCAAACATGCTTCACTTCATCCCCTGAAAACTATGTTAGAAATAGATACTCTAATTACTAGATGTCCCTATTTATAGACACAGAAGACAGATAGCTTTATTAAATATGTAACTTTTAGTT